ATCATGCACCACGGGAACAAGACTACAGCTCCCATCATACATAGGGGTGGCTAGTGACTACAGCTCCCATCATGCATCAGGGTAGGGGGAAAGACGAGAACATCTAACTCCAGCATAGATACATGGTGTAATTCCCATGATGCCCCTGTGAGAGCCGAGGTGCCCTTCGGCGGTTAGCCGGAGACTCCAAATCCCGTCAGTCCCTGCGCGCAGGACTCCATTTTCCGTGATGCACCGGGCCACACTCCCTCTATCGGCCGGAGGGTATCTACGGCGCATGCGCGCTCCTCCCGAACTTGTGGAGTTCGGGGTGCGCCGCCATCTTGTCACGGTCTCAGCCAGCGCTGTGTAAGCGATGGGGGAGGAGGGGTCTGTCTCTTAAAGGGGACACGGCCCTAGGGTGGGCCCTCCCCTCCTCGGGGTAAGCTCAGGGAAAGGGGTGGGGGGCTCCGGGTCGGGCTCGGGGGTACGGAGCGGGACCCGGTGCTGCCCCCATCCCGCGCTCTGCCCCAACGGGCCCACTTTAAGGTACCGCGGCGGAAAAAACGCAAGAGGCAGTTGGGGAGGGGGAGAGTCAAGGGGGATTAGCGCGCGCACCCACCTCTCCCCGCACAACGGCCGCTCCTGCCGCGCGCCTCGCTCTAATTGGCCAGAGGCGCCCGGCTGGAAGCGCAGCTTGAGGGAAGGGGAGGGTGATCCGGGCCGTGGGGGAGGTGCCATAGAGGAGAGGGCCCCTCGTGGAAGTGGGCAGGAGCAGGGCTCTGATGGGGTTGAGGGAAAGGGGCGGGGCTATGGTGGTAGGGACGGGGGAGTCTGGGGAAGAGGGGCTATGATGCGGGAGGGGCAGGGTTGAGGAAAATGGGAGGAGCTATGGTGGTAGGGACAGGGGTGGTGGGTGGAGCTGAGGATGGGAGGACCGGGGGTGGTTCTGAGAAGGGGAGGGGCAGGGATGGGGCTGATGAATATTGGAGGGAGTATGGTGATGGGTGGGGTTGAGGAAAAGGGGAGGGGCTGTAATGGAAGGGGCAGAGGTGGTCTAAGGAGTAGGGGCGGGGCTATGGTGGGGGAGACAAGGGTGGGGGGCGGAGCTGAGGAGGGGCTTTGGTGGGAGGGGCAGGGCTGAGGGGCCATGGTTGGGGGAAGGCAGGCAGTGTGGGGTGGTAGCTCTAGGGCTGTATGGGTAGCCGAGGTGGTGACTGGCCTGGCCTGG